ATGAGGTAGCTCGTCTATTCAATGAAGGCCACCTTCGAGAGTTCCTTAGCGATCGAGCCAAGAACCATTTCAGAGAGAGAGATGCCAACAGAAAAAACGAACAAGGGGAACCTCAACATATCATTCATATGATCATCGGTGGGATCGACACTCCACAGGAACCCATATTCAAACGCTTAAAGATACCGATCGCTATAGAAAAACGAACCTGAGATTACGTGACCGAAGATACTTTATCATTCAACAACGAAGAAGCCGAAGACATCTCTCAGCCCCACAACGACGCTCTGGTAATCTCTATCTTATAAGATAAAGTTCAAGTTAAGCGTGTTTTAGTGGATCCAGGTAGCTCTACGAATATCATCTGATCGAGGGTCGTGGAGCAACTCGGTATGCAAAATAAAGTCGTACCCGCAGCTCAGGTTTTGAACGGCTTCAACATGGCCAGTGAAACAACTAAAGGGGAGATTATTCTACCGATAAACGTGGTCGGGACCATCCGAAATACCAAGTTCCACGTAATCGAGTGTGACATGAGGTACAATGCTCTACTCGGAAGGCCTTGGATACACAATATAAGGGGAGTGCCTTCGACTTTACACCAAGTAATAAAATTCCCGACATCGGATGCTGTAAAAATAGTGTACAGAGAGCAGCATGCTGCGAGGGAAATGTTTACGGTCGATGAGGTGACGCAGATGTCAACACTACCAGCCTCAGAAAGGTCAAGCATCAAAGGTAAACAAGAAGCTAAATAGCAATCACAGCCATCGGCCTCAACCGAATCGGGGAAGCAGGAAATAGAAGAAGAGGAGGATTTTCTGATCCCTCGAACTTTTGTCATCCCTGAAGATTCTGACACCACTAAATCGATGGTCGAAGAACTGGAACAGGTTATATTGATCGAGCATTTACCCAAATGAAAGGTATACCTAGGAATGGGATTAACACCCAAACTCATAAAAATGCTAATTCAACTTCTTATCGATAACATATATTATTTCGCTTGGTCCCATTTAGATATAACAGGGATCTCACCAGATATAACGACGCATCGGCTAAGCTTGGGCCCTGAATTCAAACCAGTGAAGCAAAAGAGAAGACCCTAGTCTGAGGTAAAACACTCATTCATAAAGGACGTGGTAACTAAACTTCTCAAAATAGGATCCATTCGGGAGGTGAAGTATCTCGAATGGTTAGCCAATATAGTTGTAGTCCCTAAAAAAGGGGACAAACTTAGAATGTGTATAGAATATAAGAATTTAAAAAAAGCATGCCCCAAAGATTCTTTTCCGCTGCCCAACATCGATCGCATGATCGATGCCACGGCCGGCCACGAGGTACTTACTTTCCTCGATGCCTATTCCGTGTATAATCAAATCCAAATGAACCCGAAAGACAAGGAAAAGACTTCATTTGTCACCAAGCATTGGAACATATTGTTATAATGTGATGCCCTTCGGGCTAAAAAATGTAGGAACTACTTACCAACGCCTAATAAATAAAATGTTCGAGGAACAAATAGGTAAATCAATGGAAGTTTATATTGATGACATGCTAGTTAAGTCCCTGCGCGCAGAGGACCATTTGGCTCATTTGCAAGAAACATTCGAGATTTTGAGGAAATACAACATGAAGCTCAACCCCAAGAAGTGTGCTTTCGGGGTCAGTTCGGGAAAGTTCCTCGGCTTCATGGTATAAAATCGGGGGATCGAGATCAACCCCGATAAAATCAAGGCCATCGAAGACATCGCCATCGTGGACAGTGTAAAAGTCGTGCAGAGGCTAATGGGACAGATTGCTGCCTTAGGCCGATTCATTTCGAGGTCGTCAGATCGAAGTCACAGATTTTTCTCTCTACTAAAAAAGAAGAGCGATTTCGCTTGGACCCCGGAATGCCAACATGCATTAGAAGAGTTGAAACGATACCTGTCGAGCCCACCACTGCTTCATACTCCAAAAATAGACGAACAACTTTACTTGTACTTGGAGGTATCGGAAATCGCGGTAAGTGGTGTCCTAGTTTGAGAAGAGCAAGGTACGCAATTTCCCGTTTATTATGTAAGTCAAACCTTAGGGGCAGCAGAAACTAGATATCCACACTTAGAGAAATTAGCGCTTCCATTGATAAGCGCCTCTAGAAAGTTAAAACCGTACTTTCAATGTCACCCCATATGCGTATTAACCACTTATCCACTTCGTAATATTTTGCACAAACCCGAACTATCGGGTCGATTGGCCAAATGGGCCGTCGAACTCAGTGGGTACGATATTGGATATCAACCCCGTATGGAAATTTTAATGGACTTCGTGGCCGATTTCACTCCAACCCTTGTACCCGATGTTGAAAAGGAATTCTTGTTCAAATCGGCTACATCCTCAGGGGTATGGATCCTTTTCACGGACGGGGCTTCAAACGTGAAAGGGTCTGGGCTAAGCATCATTTTAAAGCCCCCTACGGGTGGCACCATCAGGCAGTCTATCAAAACTACTAGATTGACTAACAATGAGGCCGAGTATGAGGGTATGATTGCAGGTCTCGAGCTAGCTAAAAGCTTGGGAGCAGAAGTCATTGAAGCCAAATGCGACTCTTTACTGGTAGTAAATCAGGTAAACAAAACCTTCGAAGTACGAGAGGATAGAATGCAAAGGTATTTGGACAAACTGCAGGTCACTTTGCACCATTTTAAAGAATGGACTTTACAGCATGTACCACGAGAACAAAACGGTGAGGCTGATGCACTTGCAAATTTAGGATCATCGGTCATGGATGACGAGATAAGCTTGGGGACTGTCGTTCAACTCTCGAGATTCGTGATCGAAGAAGGTCATGCCGAGATAAATTCTACAAGCTTAACCTGGGATTGGAGGAATAAGTACATTGAATACTTGGAGAACGGAAAGTTGCCATCGAATCCTAAATATTCGAGGGCCCTACGAACCAAAGCTTCTCGATTCACATTGGCTACAAATAGAATATTATACCGAAGAACATTCGATGGACCATTGGCAGTATGCTTAGGTCCGGGAGACACCGACTACATCCAACGTGAGATTCACGAGGGTACTTGTGGAAACCACTCCGGTGCCGATTCATTAGTCTGAAAATTAATCAGAGCAGGGTATAATTGGATCGATATGGACAAAGATGCAAAGGAGTTTGTTCGAAAATGTGATAAATGTCAAAGATTTGCACCAATGATCCATCATCCCGGTGAGCAACTTCACTCGGTTCTATCCCCATGGCCATTCATGAAATGGGGAATGGATATCGTCGGCCCTCTGTCATCGGCCCCAGGTAAAGCTAAATTCATTTTATTTATGAATGACTATCTCTCTAAATGGGTTGAAGCACAGGCGTTCAAGAAAGTGGGAGAGAAAGAGGTTATAGACTTCATCTGGGATCATATCGTATGTCGATTTGGGATACCCGCCGAAATAGTGTGTGACAATGGGAAACAATTTATCAGCAGCAAAGTGACGAAATTCCTCGAAGACCACAAAATAAAAAGGATATTATCAACACCGTATCATCCTAGTGGGAACAGGTCGAATCAACGAACAAAACTATCATTCAAAACCTAAATAAAATATTAAACGACGCTAAGGGAAATGGAGAGAAATCCTACCCGAAATTCTTTGGGCATATCGTACAACATCAAAATCTAGTACAGGGGCAACCCTGTTCTCCTTAGTATATGGCTTCGAAGCCTTGATTTCAGTCGAAGTCAGGGAACCCAGTGCCAGGTTTCCATATACAACATAAGAGTCAAATAACGAAGCTATAAATACTAGCCTCGAATTATCGGATGAAAAACGAGAAGCTGCTCTCGTCCAAATGGCCGCCCAAAAGCAACGAATCGAGAGATACTATAATCGAAGAACCAAGCTTCGCCATTTTAAACCCAGGGACTTAGTGCTAAGGAAAGTCACCCTCAGTACCTGAAATCCAAACGAAGGAAAACTGGGTCCAAACTGGGTCGTATCAGGTTCTCGAAAATATCGGAAAAGGATCCTACAAGCTCGGTGTTATAAATGGAAAACAACTATCGAGCAATTGGAATGTGCCGCACCAAAAATGATACTACTACTAAGGTATGACTCTCTCATATCTATTTATATTTCGAAACTAACCCTGATAGGATCCCGATCGGGAGCAAGGATGGATTCTTCGAATACGAAGCCCTAGATCTGAAAGCACGCATTGCACTCTTTTTCCCTTAGACCGGTTTTATCCCAAATGGGTTTTTTGGCAAGGTTTTTAATGAGGCAATCATTGATCGTGCTAAACTTGGAAACAATCTGACAGTATCCGAGGTAGAGTTTACAATCGACCTCGAATACTGGGGGGCATTGGCCCGAGTCCTGGCGCAAAACATGAACAAATGTATAATGACTTGCCAAGAAAGTTTTCTTCTTTACCAATATCTTATATCCAAGAAATATTCCTCTATATCGAGATTTATTATGCAAACAGGATTGAGGTAAATCAACGAGTCTGAGCAGCACTCACTCGACCCTTACGCCTACGGGCTACATTACTTCGAGTTCGAAATCACTCACTCTACTATTAAGCCTACAGGCTACATTAATTCGAGTTAGAAATCACTCACTCGACTATTAAGCCTACGGGCTACATTTCCTCGAGTTCGAAACCACTCACTCGACTATTACATTACTTCGAGTTCGAAATCACTCACTCGACTATTTAGCCTACGGGCTACATTACTTCGAGTTCGAAATCACTCACTCGACTATTAAGCCTATAGGATACATTACTTCGAGTTCGAAATCATTTACTCGAATATAAAGGCTACAAAGTCCGAATTCGATCAAATTGTCTTAAACCTTATGAAAACATTCAAAAGGCATGAATAAAACGAAATCTTCACAAGACAGAAAATAAAACAGAGGCAAGACAGGAAAAGAAAAGATATTTGTATATATTTACAAGATTATTTACATGATTGTTTGCAACATCCGAAATAGAAACTAAGGGACTAAGTTTCTTGGTTATCCCCGGAGGAGGTCTCTTCTCCATCAGGCTCCTCCCTGCTCTCGGACCCTCTTTGGCTCCCATCATCATCATCGTCATCATCGGAAGGCAAAGCTTCAACATCAGCTTCGAGCTCTTTAGCCCTTTTTATCTCTTCAGTGAGGTCGAAACATCAGGCATGGATCTCCTCGAGGGTCTCCCTCTGAGATCGACACTTGGCAAGCTCAGCAACCCAGTGTGCTCGAGTGTTGGTGGTCTCGGCTGCCTCTCTTGCTTGTATCTGAGCAGCTTCAGCATCGGCCCGATAAATGGCCACGATTGCATCCGCATCGGCCTTTGCCTTTTTGGCGTCAGATTCGGCCTTAGCAAGTTCAGAGGCCAACGGAGCCTCGAGCTCCTCTATTCTTCTTACTTGAACAGAGCTTTTTTCCTTCATACTTTGAAGTTGGCTCTCAACCGATGACAATTGAGCTCGAGCAGCCTCTTTCTCTGCAGCGAAGCGATCCATACCTTCTTTCCACTTCAAGGACTCTGCTTGTATCACATCAACCTCCTCACAGAGTTTTCCGATCATTTCAATTTTTCGCTGCAGCTGCGATACCGAAATATTAGACGTTGTTCCGGTATCAAGCCCATAGGCTTTTAAAAGTATCATTACCTGCTCAGACAGATCGGTCTGATCTCGGTGAGCCTTGGCCAACTCAGTTTGTAGATCTTTGATTTCCTCTCCCCTTTGCCCTAAGAGGAGCTTAAAAGAGTTCCTCTCATCCGTGACTCATTGAAGATCGGTCTCGAACCGATGCATCTCAGCTTGAGACCGAGAACATGCCCCTCGATGAACCGCCACAACCTGCGAAGAAAGAAAGCAAAGTTAGGAAAGAATTTCAAAACATAAGTAATATCAACAAAGAGAGTTAAGAGCTTACCCAATTCAGAGCTAGCTGCACTTCACAGAGAAATCCCGACACATCGCTAGGGCCAGCAGCGTCCTCGACCCCCGTAAGCAGATCACGGAAAGGGTCCTCCCCTTCATAAGACCGGCTCATCTCGAGGGCCCCCAAAGTTTAGGCTTCCCGTATAGCCCCTTTAGAAAAGGCAGGGGGAGTGGGTGAATCTACGATTACTATTGCCCCAGGTGGCTCGCTCGGGACGTTCTCCTCAGTTTAGAGAGCTTCAAGACCGGCCCCTTCCGAGGTACCCACCGTTTGTTGACTTCGGTAGGAAGCATCCTCGACCTCTAATAACTCGGGGAATTTTCCTAAACCTCCCTCCGATCTCTCCTCAGTCCGAGGCAAAGCCTTATGAATCATCATCGATTCAGCCGCCTTTGGGATACCAGTGCTTCTCTTCATTCGGGCCGCCAGCGTGGACCCGTCATTTTCTTTTTATTCTTCGTCTTCATTCCCTAGACGCAGAACTGATTCTATAGTCAAAGGAATGATATTCTTCAGCTTACGAGCTGTCCTCTTCTTCGGTTTTGGATCTTTGGGAACGAAGGCCCTTTTTCTCTTATGTTCCTTCATCGGCTTTGGAACAGAGACCAATGCCTCTTCCTCGACGGATGGGGCCCTTAAAACTGCATCCTTGCCCACACCTACATACGGGAAAATTTATTAAAGTATATGGGAAGCATCTCACTACCGAAAAATATGAGGAAGGGGCTTACCATGATATTTCGCTTCCCATCGCCCCTTAGACAAGTCACGCCATGAGCACTCGGTGTATGTGGAGGTCGAAACCAGATCCCGTACCCAGCTCTTGAGATCGGGAACTGCGCCGGGCATCCAGGGAACCGTTGCATCTCACAAAGGGGGATATTGGTAAGAAAAGGAAAAGAAAATTAATAAGAGATAGCAGCAGAATTACACTTACACTTCATGTTCCACACTTCGGGGAAAGGCATTTTCTCGATCGAAATTAGGTCCGAAGTCCTTACTCGAACAAACCTACCCATCCAACCTCGATCCTTGTCCTCATCTATGCTCGAGAATAGGGCCTTGGTAGCCCGACGCTGAAGTTTTATTAACCCTCCTCGAAAAAGGCAAGGATGGTACAGTCGGATGAGATGATCGAGGGTGAAAGACATCCCCTCGATTTTGTTCACGAAGTATCGGATCAGAATAACAATCCGCCAAAAAGAAGGATAGATCTGGCCTAGAGTTATTAGATATTTACGACAAAACTCGACGATAACAGGGTCGAGGGGACCTAACATAAAAGGGTAAGTGTACACACTTAAAAACCCTTTCACGTGAGTAGTAATATCCTCTTCGAGAAACGGTACTACCACTTCTTTGTTCCCCCAGTTACAATCCTTTTTTACCTGCTCGATATACCCCCTGGTTGCCAAACAAATATATCTCGATACGGGCTCACATCGGCCGGGGAACGGCGAACCTTTATCGAGTTTGAAATCAGATGTAAGAACACACGCCGCCGGAACACACTCCTGAGGCCGTGGATCCACCAGTATTTTGTCGGCGGCAGATTGGGAAGAAGAAGCTTTTTCTTTTTGGGGAATGGTTTTTGATGTCTTCGCCATTGTTGGATTTAAAGAAGGTGACAAAGATTTGGTGGTTTAGAAGAAGAATTTTGCAGAAAAGAATCACAAATCTACGAATTAACTCAGAAGAAATGAAAAGGAACTTAGAAAATTTGGAAGATTGAAGATGTAAAAGTGATAATTGGTAAAACAAAGGGCTATTTATAGATTAAAGCAATGGCGGTTCAATATCAGCGGTGGTCGACCAACGTCTGACACACATTAAATGCCTTGGTAAGCTAAACCGACGGAATAACTCTCACATACATCATGGTCGAACTCGATGCAAACATCAGTACATGTCCGATCGAGCCATCAGAAAATCGTATAGTTTCTCACCACATCCTTCCCGAGAAATGAGAGGACTATCTGTATACGGTCGAAATTGATTTTGACCTTCGTACGATATCGAGACGGGCTTCGAAGATGGTACGAACGAGCTTCAAATTTTTGGTATAGGTCAAACATCGAGTTCGAAGTCATTATCAAGATTGAGTCCGAATCGAATTATGATGAGACGTTGTGGACTCGAGCTTAAGGGGCAGGGGCTAACCGATATCGAGCCCGAATAATCACCTGATCCCGAATCGGCATCGGACTCAAGACCACATCGAGCTCTAAAAATAATACCGATCGACTCCAAGGTCGTTTGAGCTCGAGCTCACAGACAAGAGCCGTTGCAAACGCACTAAGAGAGAGAATCTCGGCAGGAATTAAGGAAAAGCTGATTTATCATGGGTTCCCCACTATGTATTTTTTATTATATCTAGAGTAGGATCTTCCACTATAAAGAGCATGGTTACATTTCTATAAAGGGACAGGTTTTATGCTCACATTGTAACTAAGACACCATACACTCCTATATTGAAGAATTATTCCTTTAAGCTTCATATATTGATTCATCTTGCTTGGTCCTAAAAATCATCTTCTTTTCATCTTTGTTCATTTTGCATTCTTTGCAATCCGTATTTGATAATTCTATTTATCCTTACGATTTGTATTAAGCTATACCACATATTCTTAGAACTACGTACAAATTCAACTTTATCCATTTTCGGGTAAACAAATCCTAAGCAGGATCCAAAGACGTTTAAATACAGTTCCAATCTGGTGTCAAGTTTGACTGCATCAATGTCACGACACAAAATCCAACTAGTCGTGATGGAACCTAACACATCCCGTTAGGTAAGCCAATTTCCAACTAACCAATTTCAATAATAATTATTAAAGCAATTTAAGTGAATAAAGATCCTGATCTTATACAATCCCCAAGAACTGGTAGTACAAATCATGAGCTTCTAAGAATAGAGTGTACAAAGCGGAAATGAAATAAATACATAGTCTATTTGAATAATACATAAACAGAGCTTTTATAAATCTAAGGCTACCCTGAACAAGAGGCAGCTACAACAGGAACGCGGGTATATCTTCAGATCCCGCAACCATCGAGCACAGTAACAACAGCAGCCAACATCTGTACGAAATGTGCAGAAGTGTAGTATGCAGAAGTGTAGTATCAGTACAACCGACCCCATGTACTGAGTGAGTAACAAACCTAGCCGTAGGTTGAAAGTAGTGAGAGCTTCTACCAAGTTCGGGTCCAAAACCACTAGTCCACAACAGTTCATAATAACATAAAGCAAATAGTACCAGATGAAACACAAAGATAAATATGCTCAGCTGAAACATGATTTCAAAAATAATAGTTCTTCCTTTCAAATACATCAGTGAAAACCCAAATCGTTTGCCGAAGTTGCCAAAAATATGAATAATTTGAGAACAGTAATTCTTTAAAAAATCATTTCAATAATAAATAAAATATCTCATTTTCTTTCCCGGATAACCAGTGTAAAACAAATGCATCACTATGCCCATCTATCAGCATGTGTGAAAAAAAAATTCATGAATAGTGTGATACCATACAATATGAGGAAAACACATCTCTATGCATATATATCATGTGTGCATGTCAATGCAATGTATCTCAGAGATTGCACTCATGTACTCACAGTCTTAGAGTACTCAATCTCATTGTCTCGCATTCTCTCTTACTGTGCTCAGCACACTCAATCACTCAGCCCTATACAATACCTGTTGCGGCGTGCAGCCCGATCCCTATTTATAGTCGACTGCGCTCACTGGGGGTGTACAGACTCATGAGGGACTCCTACAGCCCAAGCGCTATAAGCACGAATAACTCACGTGCTATAATATCCTATCTGGATCCGCACGGATAACTCACGTGCTATAATAATATCTGGATCCGCACGGCCAACTCATGTGCTACAATAATATCTGGATCTGAACGGCCAACTCACGTGCTATAATAATATCTGGATCCGCACGGCCAACTCACATGAAATAGTATAATATATAGATCTGCACGGCCAACTCACGTGCAATAGTATAATATATATAAAGCCAACATGGCATGCTGCGACGTGCAGTCCGATCCCAAAAAATATCCTCACAATCAGGCCCTCGGCCTCCCTCAGTCACCAATCTCTCCAGTCTCTCTTTCATGGGCTCACAATGTCATGAGAATAGCCCAAAAATGATGATATGATGTATCAATAAATAACAACAGAGACTGAGATATGATATACAATGAAATGATTATGACTATGTATAAATTTTCATTTTAAAATAAATATTTCACAATAATATGACCTCTGTGGGTCCCAATAATACTGGCACATAGCCTCAACATGATTTTTAATATGCTTTTCAGCTCAATTTCCTTAACTCATAAAATCGCATGGAAAATGCCAAGATCATTTAACTACAAAATTCCATAGAAACAATTATGTCACAATTTCTATAGTGCACGCCCGTCACCTAGCATGTGCGTTACCTCCCAACAATTCACAAAATACATATATTCAGGGTTCATACCCTCAACTCCAAGATTAGAAGAGTTACTTACCTCGAACAAGCCGAATCCAATGTCGAGCAAGCTAAACAATGCTCCAGAAATTCCATTCTGCGTGTATCAACTTCCAAATGGCTCGAATCTAGTCACAATTAATTTG